GTGATGTGTGGGACAAGCAACATTCTCTTCTTCTGTGTCGGCGTCATACTCAAATGCGGGGTCAACAGATGGCTGTCTGAAACATATATTGTTTAATGCAGACACTGGCTTATAGAACAAGTCACTTAGGTTCTCACCAGAGGGCAATGTGATAGCAGGAACCGACTCCTCGACAGAGTGGAAGTGTGGATCTTCCTCAGCAGGACTGGCGTCCAAAACCGGTATCCCAGTGGCTGGATGACACCTAGAGAGGGCGTCGGGGACCACCATCTGGCTTATACTGTATCTCTAAATCATACTGCTGTAACACCGCCAACCAAAGTTCATATATAGCTCCCTTCAAGCGATTGACCGAGATAGGACGAAGCGCTTGGTGATCACACTCGACGATAAAATGAGCGCCACGGATATAAGAAGCACACTCTGTTACAGCTGTAACCACACCGAGAAGTTCCAGTTTCGTGGGTCCATAAAACTGTTGCCACTTGTTTAGTCCCTTTGAATCAAAACGAATGGTATGCGACGTACCATCCTCGTAAATCTGATAAAGCATAAACCTTATGCCTTTACTAGAAGTAACCACTGCTATACGAAACGGTATATCAAAGCGGGGAAATGCCAGGGCATCTGAGTTCACAAGCGAGAGTTTCAAGGTTTCAAAAGCTTCACTATGTTCACTACTCCACTGAAATTTGGTGTTTTTCTTCAATAACTGATATATAGGAGCAGCTATTGTACTATAGTTAGGAATAAACTTTTTGAACCAGTTCATTAAGCCCATTGCGCTTTTGACTTCCTTAGTATGAGTAGGGTGGGGATAGTTACGAATACATTCAACTCTGTCTGCCGGAGGGCGAATCCCAGCATTAGATATCTCATGACCTAAGAATACACATTTGTCTACCGCAAATCTACACTTTTTGGGGCCAAGTTTAAGCCCTGCAGTAAGAAACCTGTAAAGTACCTCCTGAATGTCAAGTAAATGTTGTTCAAATGTTGATGAAACAATCAAAACATCATCTAGGTAACACAACACAGATTTAAGTATCAAACCCTGCAAACCTTATCCATCAATAGTTGGAAACTATTAGGCGCAGTCTTTAAGCCCATTGGCAATTGTAGAAATTTGTACCAAAACAGGTATCAAATGCAGTATAACTTGACGATTTCTCAGATATACCCATTTGAAAAAACCCTGAACTCATATCTACTGATGTGATAAAGTTTGGCTTGGTTTGACTAAAGGACTCTGTGAGTTCTTTTAAATCAGGGATGTTGTACCGAAAATCTTCAGTCTGGGAATTCAAATACCTGAAGTCACAACAGAATCTAAAACTATGTAAATGACTCTCCCATGAACCTTTCTTTCCCTCAGATCCTGGATATTTTCTTTTAGCCACTAACACAATAGGACTAGATATGGGCAAACTTTCACTCTCGGACACAGCAACAATCACCCCTTGTTCTAACAATTCATTCAGCTGAGTACGCAACACTTCTTTCTTATCTGGAGGGAGTCGGTACGGCCTCTGTTGTTTACCTACAAAATCTTTCTTAAGATGAATTTCATGTTCAACTAAGGTTGTGTATCCTAAAGATGGATTCGATGGTGTGACAAAAACATCTTTGTTATCATACAAACATTCCTTAACTTTCCTAGTTTGATCATCAGACAAGCATGTGCCTATTTGGAAATTCTCAAAAAATGTAGGCTCTGAGTCATTGGTACTTTCAGTACTGTCAGTACTTTGATAATGTGATTCAACAGGTACATGTTCAGTAAAAGCACATACAGGGTTACCATCATGAGGTGTATCATTAGATTCATTACACATCTCTTTAACATGGGTACACACAATGTTTTCCTTCATTGGTTTCATAGGTATTACTTCACATGATCCATTGAACATTGCAAAATCTGCCAAAACTGTACCCTTAGAAATATGAATTGGGGCATTTGTAGGGTTACATAATCTCATTGGTATAATTGGAGTGGGTGGTACAGTCACGACTGATTTAGCAACCAATAATCCACCATGTAAAACTCTTTTATGAATAGTACAAATACCCTGGATACCTGTAAACACATGTTTTGGTACTTTATCCTGAATATTAATTTCAGCATTTGGAGACAAGGTGACAGAGGACATACATTTGACCTTGACCTTCCCTGACATACCCTTCACAGAATGGACACCTGATTTAAAATCAAGTACTAATCTCTTAGACATCATGTAATCAGTACCAACAATGAAAGGGTGTGAGGTATTCTCTAATAAATGAGCATGCAATGTATGCCTACCATTTGGCGTGTACCCATGACCTTGACATATTTATCATCAGCAACCAAAATTTGTTTCTCAGAGGGCTAAAAATTACTCTTACATTTATCAGATAACATGTTAAAGAAATCAACACCCATTACAGTTATACTTGATCCTGAGTCTAACAATGCTGCTACCTTAATGTATTTAAAGTCAATAGGGTAATACATGAATTTAGTGTCCTTAGTGCACCTCCAATTATCAGGGAAATCGCTGAGACTTTCATCAGAGTCATCATCAAAACTGTCACTACTTGCACTATGACTATTGTACAGTTTCTCTCTCCAAAGTATAGGAGAAGGGCTGTGCGAATGTTGTGGCTCTAACCGGACTGATCGGCTGTGAGATGCGCTGCTGGCCTCGGGGCCTTTAAGTTTCCCTGGTGTTGGACAGCTGGTTCCTGTCTATGTGGTGCTTGATCCTGTGGGCGAGGAACTTCATGCTGCTTCTGTTGACGGCCAGACACATGATATGCACAATCTGAAGCTCCATGGCCCATCTGCTGACAAAGCTGACACCGAGTCGAGGGGTTAGGTGGGAATGTCTCCATCCAAAGCAATCTCTACTAATGTGACCTTCTGCCCTACATTTTTAGCATGTGCGGACATTGTTCGGGTGTGCTGGACCGACAGGAGCAATGGTTTCACTCATTTTCAGTTTTTCTACACTTACAGAGAGTTGACACACTTTATCTGCGAGAGCAGCTAAATCAAACTGGTCTAATGCTTGAGAGGATACAGTACTCCAGGAGGGGACAGTACCCTGTGGTGCTGCAGAATTGTCCAAGCTCAAAGGTGACAATGATGACCCGCGATACCCGAAAGCTTCCCATATCTTTGCTGCATGAAATGCCGCCTCACAAGTTTTCGGGTGTGTAGTTCGCACATAAAACATAAGTGTGTCAGGTAAACTGTCTATAAACTTGAGAAGCATCTCCTCGTCTCTTCTTTTCAGGATCTTTCCCTTATGTATGAGGGTAGAGTAAAAATCGTCCAACTTTTGGTTAGGCTGAAGTGTCATTTTCGTAAAAGTGTCAGTTTCCATGAGCAATCTTGGGCTCTCCACATTTAAGTCTACAAATCTAGTCTTGAACTTCGCCAGTAGATCAGACCAACGACTCCAGTGTGTACAAGGTAAATGTTCATACCATGTTTTGGCCGCGCCATGTAATAATAGGCTGAACGCGGCCACACCTTTGTCCTAATAGTTCGCAATATGCTAAGAATTCATCAAGGAAACGACCAGGGTCGTCAGAAGTCCCATGAAATGTTGTGCAGCGTAAAATTTCAGACGGCGTACTCACGCCTGATGAAACAGGTGGTTGGGCTGGAGACGGCTCATACCGAGATTTTAGTTCATTACGGAGAAGAAATTCTTCTGACTAAACATTGTCATCTTCGGTAAAGTCGAAATTGATATTGTACGACGTCATTTCACAAACACAATAACAGTTCACGAATTATAAACTCAATCTTAGTCACTCAGTATAAGTTCGCTCAACCACGTGGTCTCAGCCATATCACATCACGTACGATTGGCAATGGAATTACAGTCACCAAAACAGTTCATATCATCACTAGAACCTCAACAAAGGTGAAATAATACCTCGAAACTGCGGATTCTCCACCATGTAGCGTGGCAACGGTGTTGGTTTGGGGAATTATACTCAGACTTGGCTGATCGAGGACAACACGTTCCAGCTGTGTTCATCCATTTTATTCTCTCGTTTAAAAAAAGTTACAAAACCGTTCACAGAAATAATCCGGAAACAATAAAATCCGGAAAACTCACTATGAAGGGAGACAACTCGTACTGTCTTATAGCATGATCATCCGCCTAGCCATATCATAACCATAACACACGGATGACACGTCGTGAATATTTAATGTCAGTGGTTGTTGAACAAGGGGCATTTGAGTAGAGGGAATAGGAGATAAATGTTCGGGAAACATCGCGTGCGTAAAGAAAGACTCGTCAATCGAATCATTTCAATTAGACAAACCAGGAGATAGGAAGCAAAAGACATTTTTTTTTTCATTTTGTCATCAGTAGTAACCCTTTAAATGAAATATTTTATCAAAGATTAGAATTCGACGAGACTGTAGTTGCATTGTATTTTGTAAACAAAACACTTTCATAACAATTACCAGTATATAACTTATCATAATTATACTCTTAGATTTACACTTTTCTAACCTATAGATACACGGCTTGTTTTTTGTAATAAGAAAATAAGCAAACCCTTTCCCAGACCTATTCGTATGTCATTTCTAAATCCATGTGAACCAAGATAGAACCGTACACTGAACGCAGTTTTGTGTTCGTCAGGGGTTCGACAACACATTTCCTATCATACACACACCGTGCATACATCGTAGGCACATAGCAATCAACTGCTATATTATTATTACAAGCAATGTTTTGTGTTTGTCAGGGGTTCAATACCACATTTCCTATCTTAGTGTTTCCTTCCATTCAAAATATATCATTACTTTTGTATAGAAAGTAATGTATGAAATAAATTAAAATAAGAAAAAATATATTTGTTGGAAAGCAGCGATTTTTTTTATTTCAGTGTTCTAAACCAATTACTGAATATTTCATCAAATAACCATAACAAATTACAAATGTATGAAAAGAAATACATATTTATATTACATGTATACTTCCATGTATTATAACACTAAGAGCAGATATATATATATAATACAGTAATTTTTTCTTCAATGAGTGGTTTAACTCAAATCAGTTTCATATGTAGTGCACAAACATGTGGGTTTCATCTATTTTCCTCATTTTCAGGGGTCGAGGAAATAAAAATGACACCATTCTCACCGGTCACTCTTTTGCATTGTAAATTCTTTTGTCACAATGATATAAAAAGAAATGTTTAAAGGCTTTCTAATCGCTTACGCGAAGTTTCCAATCATGTGATCAAGCTAGCTTAAACCAATATCCCAGTCCGCCATCCTGAGTGCAAACAGCAAAAGTGTTTTAAAACCATCTCTGTTATCTTTGTGAAATATTGTGAAGATATCCAGATATCTGGTGCCTGACCTGTGAGAGTAATGTCATATTTATCAACATTAACCCCCCCAAAAAACTGTTGAAATTTTCCCATGGTCGCAAGTAACATATTAAGATAATCGTTTTTCCAAAGCGTGAATATGTGCTAACCTAAGTGAACTAGTTAACAGGAGGCTAGAACCCTTTTCCTTTGACTTGATATAAAAGTTAAAAAAAAAAATTCCAATAATTGTATGTAAAACCTGCAGTGCAAACATCAAAAGCAATTCAAAAGCATGTTTAATGTTCCTGTCAAACAACATACAAATATTGACAGTGGACTGACCAGAGGGAATAAAAACAAATTTATCTCCCCCACTCCCTAAAATCATAAAAAAAGCAATCGCTACTGCCTAAATGAGTATACATTTCCGACCAAATCATGATTATATTTAACATAATTTAACTAGTTTGGAATCTAATAGTTAAAAGTTTGAATAATGTTTTGCAACATTTCATATCATACATATATGATCCAAAGAGACTTGGAAGCAGGGCTTCAAATAGGAAAATTAGTCAATAATTCTGCATCAAATTGCTATGCTTCCTTAATTCTTAAGTGGATTTACATCAAATGTGGTACAAAACATCATAGTTGTTTGGCGAATCATTTCCTTAATTCACAAAGTTGATTTAACCCCTATGATCTTAAGGGTGGGACTCCTGAAAGGGAAGTTAAACAATATTTTGTTCCAAAATGCTACTACTTCTTAATGCCTTGGTAGATTTCAACCAAATTTGACCTCAAACATCATCAGGAAGTGGCAATGATATCAAACAAACATGAAGTGATCCTGAGATTGACCAAACCAAATCTTATTTTCTGGCTTTGGTCCAAAATTGAACTTTTCAAGTTTCATTCACACCTTTGAGAAGACTATTTGGAGATTGATTTTTTAAGGAAACGAAAAAGATGATTTGTTATTTTTCAGTCTGATCAAAACTTCAACATGGTAACCACATTAGCCATTTTGTGGTATGTACAGAACCTACCATTTATAAATTTCTAATACTTTCAACTGAGAAAGAATTTTAGAATTGAAGGATGGTCTACAAGAAGATTCTTTGTGAAAAAAAAATCAAACTTTACATGTTGTGACAAATTAGTTTCATGTTTCATTTTTAGTGTGATTACAGCACCACCTATCACGGATTTGGACTGAAAATTTTGGTTTGAATAATACCTAAAACAAGAGGACCATGGCCATTTAAGGTCAACTGACAATTGACGAATGGATTGACAAACCACAGAATTCGCTGATAATGGAATGACAAATCTGATTTTTGAACATTCCTTGAAAGTATCAGAAACTCATAAATAGTAGGTTCTCTTCATAAATTTGCATAATCATGTTACATAATGGCTAGTGTGGTTTCCACGTCGAAACTTTAACAAATCAATCTCCAAAAATTTTTCTCCATGGTGTGAATGAAAGTTGAAAGGAAGTGCAGACTCAAGATGAGTTAAAATAAGATTTGATCAGGAAAAATCTCAGGATCACTTTATGCATGTTTGATATCATTGACACCCCATGATGATGTTTCAGGCCAAATTTGATTGAAACCTACTCCGGCATTAATAAGGCATAGCATCCTGGAACAAAATTTTGTTTAACTTCCCCTTCTTGGTCCCAGCCCCCAAGTCGGATGACCCAAAAAAGGAAATTTTTGTATGTAAAAAATTGGTATGGAAGGGCATTTCTAAATCTTTTTTCAGTATAAAGTTCTAACAATTTATATTTATACTTCTGTTTTTGCCTGTAAGTATCATCTAATTATGAGCAACCCTTATCGCCTGCAATGACAATGAATGGTGTGGTGTTGCACACCTCATACCTGTGGGGTCAACCTGTGCTGTGGACCCAGAGGCAATTATTGTCACCTCCAACTGACATCCTATTGTTTGAAATACAATAAACGCACCTGCTTCAGACAGAGAGAGACATTTAGTAAAGTAGATACACCTCTGTTTATTTCTAGACTTTGGCAACATTTTTCATCAGCCGAAAAACTGCAAGGTCAGAAAGAAAACCAGGGCTTCAAGATTTCAGGCAGAGCACTCACAAAGAGAATAAGGTTTAGTTTAGTAGTCTAATGAGGGCAGGGTGCAGTGCTCTGATGACCTACTCTAGCTGGAACGCTACTCAAAGAAATAGCAATAATAATCTTTCACTGTCAAATCAAGATGGCTGCCCATCAAGATAAAAAAATAATAAAACAAAAACTTATAAAGGCTTAACAGCACCAATTGTAATTTAGGTTTCATCACACATAAACATTCATGATAGTTCGAATCTTCTGACGACATAATGGACAAGTTCTGCGGGCTACATTCCTTGCCCTTGCAATTTGGTTTCCACAGTCTACACACAAGCACATGTGTCTGCAAGGAAGAATGAGCACTGATTTGTCCTGATCCTGACATACCACACACTTTTGCCTTTCTCGTTCTTTCTCTATCTCACGTTCAAAATCTTCATGTCTTTTAAAACTGCTCTGAGAAGGTGTTGTAGATCGCCTTAGGTTATACCTTCCATTTGTAGTCAGTGGAAGCTGAATGTCAATATCATTACTTAAAGTTGTACTTGTTCCATCACTGTCATCCGAAAGGTTTCCACTTCCAGAGTCATCAGAATCATCTGTCACTTCAAATTCAATATCCTCTTCTTCATCTTCATCAGATATACTTTCATTATCCATTTCACTTTCAACCTCGCTTGCATTCACCTCATCATCAGAGAATTCAAAGTGACCCTCATCTTGTACTTCCTCCCGCAATCTGCTTGGCTGTCCAAAATGGTTCAGAATGGGAAATGTCATGTCGTGGTTGGACAAGTGGTTTAAAATGCTAATGACAAAAATATATAGAAGTAATAATGTTATCAGGCCTAGATATGTCTCTTTAGGAATGTTTGGAAGATAATAAACAAGAAAGAAATACATCTGATCAGTTAAAAACCTCACACCTTCAGCAAATCCTATCATCATATTATCAAATAACCTCCATGACAAGGATAAAATGTAGTTCAATGAATGAAAAGCACTGGCAATGACACTATATGTTAAATTCCAAACAAGGGTGAATCCTCCTGTTGAAATCTTTGACCACTGAGTAACAACATCAGAGATACACACAAAAGATTTGTATGAATTTTGTTTAAGGTCAGAGACGGATATATACAAGGCACTTGCGCTCCATTTGCTCCCAGTCATAACGAAATTAGTCAAAAACTCCATTCCCTGGAACAATATATCCAGTATGCTTGCAAGGAATCTTGAAAATTTCCAAATAAGCATGACTAACCCATAACTGAAATTGCAGCATTCATTGAGGAAATCAACCCCTGATGAAATTATATTGAACAATACTGTCAGGGCTACGGAAGAAAAGTGGTACACGATTGTTAAACCCTGAACACAATACTGCAGCACGACTGTCACCAGTTCGTAATTCACTCGTATCACTGAACTAATTGCTCTGGACGAATACTCAATTGCCTTAAGCAAAAACGACATCATAACACCTAATACACTCATTTCGTCATGTAGTTGATCAATTTGTAGACATGGAAATAAATCACAAAAGTAGTGGGATATTCACATCGTACCGAAGTTTTCTGGTTTGTTTACGGTAGTATTGATTATAAAATGCTGACTGACCATAAAAAACGAAACGCAGTTTAGGAATATCTTGGAATAATCTGTAGGAATAATTATAAAACATTTACTGACAACAACATAGACTTCATTTTACAGATAAATCATAACACGAGTAAACAATTAGTTACAACATTTTACTATAGCATGAAAGTATTTGATTCCGTTTAAAAACTGTTCAATAGAAAACGAAAGCGGAAGTAGAAATAATTAGGCAGGCTGGGAAGTTTTATCATATGGACTAAGACCACAAGTAATTTCACTATATGTTTCATTGTAACATTAAAATTCATAACTAAGTCCCAAAGTTTCATCTGCAAATTTCCATTTCACCTGGCCAAGATCAACATCTGAGAAGCAAAATGTAAAAGTTTCAACCCATCATGTTGGGCATTTTCTGGAGATATACCTCCATGTGTGTCACCAACGTCAATTATATACATCCGGGTCAGGGGTAAAGGTGAAAACAGGACTTTTTACACCGGATCCTGCAGCACAAAATACATGTTCAATATGAATGATTTACACACTGACAGCTAGATTATCATCTCTATAACACATCTACAGCAAATTTATAGGCAAACATCCAATTCAAAGAGGCATATTATTTTTTCCCCAAATATACATACATTTTTTAAGGACTTCATTCGTGGGTACTGAACCCGGAAGTATTTAATTGTGGTCTTAGTCCTATTATAAGAGTAGATATGACAGCAGCGCTTGGTAGTAAACTCACATGTTTAAATACCAGATTATTTTTTATATTTACAACAGTTTGGCGCAGTATAAATAATATAAAGGAAGCAATACATGGCAACGGGTGTTCTGTAGAATTCATTCTCCTGCAAGTGACTTCTCTCGAAACAATGATGAACATCCACTTTTTTGCATATCATTGTGTTAAAAAGTATAACAAAAGTAGCAAAATAACATATGTATGATGTGTAATATTTGAATCATCAAGTTCTCTCTATTTGTTTTATGTAGAACGAGGCGTTCAAAACTCTCATCGAGTAACCTCCCTTTAATTGTTATGCTAAATAGAGTTTCGGAATGTTTCTAATCTTTAGTCAATACCTAGGTATTTGTCCGAGGATATCCACGTAAAGTAAACATGTATCGTTTTCACATTGGATACCAACAACAGTCGCATAATGTTGGGACCTTGTATAGATGGCTTTTCTACACTAAACTTGTAATAGCTAACACGGATCTTAAATGTGGGACGTAACAGTGTTCAGGTCGCCACTAAACATGGGCTGCATGTCTTCTAAGATATTCCCTTCAGGTAAGGCAAAAAGAACGGAATCGGGCGTTTTTTCGTTAAATATCCGTTGTCACCCAGACATAGTTATACATACACATTTTGATAACAGACAGACGGGTTCTGTTTCTTGCAAGTTCAGTTTTTCTTATTTGTTGAATACAAGGATACAATCATAAATAAGTTTGGTTAAAGTCCCTAGGTGTGTACTGGATTTTTCAATACAGTTTTATGATATCACGTGACCAGCATGCATGATTAGTCAACATATACAGAGTACATCTACATATAGTGATATACACTGAAGTGCTAGAGACTTTGGACTAATTACATATAAGCTGATTATTCACAAGTTACATGTTTTTTCTTTTTCTTTCAATATAAAGCAAGAGTATTAAGGATTTGAAGACACTGAACTCTTGAGTCCCCTTCGCTGACAAAGTCCTCCATGAGCAAACTTGTTTGCAGGTTACTGTCACAAAAGCAAAACAAGATGTTAGTACCTGCAAGCTGACCTCAATAAATCAGAGATATGAGAGGAAAACTGTCAACAGGATGTCAGTGGCAGCAAATGATGTATCATTATCACGAAAAAAAAAAAAAAAAAAAATCACAAGTCACTTGTTCTTACATGTACCTCACAAAATTGCTTTATGCTGATGGAAAGTAAAAGATATAGACCTCCCTTGTCAAACTAAGTTTGGGTATTCTTTGACTTGCTGATGATTATATACTTCATACACCAGATGATTTTATGCTACTTAAATCCATCCAGTGCCAAGCTCTTGATATGTTTTTGCTGACTGTTATAGAGCTAGTGAATATGACTATGTAACAGCTATGGTCCAGACATAGACAACAAAGTCTTTAGAAAAAGGCTGATGGTCAGTTACATTTTTATGTAGCTATTGTATCATCGAATATCTTTCACAAGGAGAAAGAAGAACTAGGTGTGCCCACAAACATCTCTAAATCAGCATTTCCACCAACAATGTTGCATATCTCTTGTCAAATGATATCTGGTCATGGCTTTAAAAGTCAAGAGTACCAGAATGTTTTAAAGGGTCATTAGGTAAAAAGACCTTCTAATGAATTCCATTGTATATTTATCACATCCTTGTCACAGTTACCATTGTAATTGTCCTTATAAGCTTTGTAATAATCATTATCATTATACATTGATAGTAAAAGTCTCACATGTGTAGTGATATGACATCATAAATTGAGGACTCATGTGTAATGTTATCACTGGGCTGGAATTGTGTATTTAACAAATGATACATGAATAGATGTGAAATATTTTTTAAAATGCTCTTTGCTTCCTTGCTGTGGTACTGTATCACAAAGAATGAAGCAATAGACTGTTCTGCTATAGTAGCTTTTAGGCCAGCAATCTAAACATTTATTTTGGTATTGCTACACTTGAAAATTAATAAAAACAAAAATGTGTTTTTACAACTAAGAATCATAAATACAAATAAGAATTAATTTTTTATTTTGATCGGTTATTAGGGTAACAATACAATTGAACTCTGGTAAAAAGAACTGGTTGAACTCAGGTAGGTTTACATAACTGGGAAATATGAAATTATCCTGAGTACATGTTACCATAATTGGAAGAAGGTTTCTCAAACTTATCACCGTTGACAAAACAATTGAATGGCAAAGCAATGCTGAATTGTTTGAGATTGGTCCCAATATATTTTATAGTCATATAATATTGTGGTACCAGGTTTGTTTATTTTGATGGAGGCTAAATTATGGGGTTTAAGTCTGTCAAAATGTATGCAAAGGGCAAAGACTGGGTGCTCTGACATTGCTAATCAAGTGAAATATTACAATATGCACAAAGTTTCATGGTGACCTGTTGTGATCACCTTTCTCCTGTGTCATACACCGCTGTCTGCAAACAATTTAACATTTTCAATATCTTCTCAAAAAACCTGAATGGATATCAATGAAATTTTGCAGAAACTTTCCCTGGCATATTATGAACCAAACTCTTCTTCTCAACACCCAGATATGGTAGAATCAAAAGCTCTTCATGAATTGAAGTTTCTTACGTTGCTCTAATTAGCCAAATGGATTTCACATTTCTTCATGGGGAGGAAGTTTGTTTTTTTTAAAACTGTACTGTAGTTTTGATAGAAAAATTGCATTTTTGAGCATAACATTGTCTATTTCCCTCTGGAAATAACGTTGTAAGAATTATTAGTATAGGATGACATATTTAAAGATATGCTTGTAATGACACTGACATACTATATTCAGTGCCACAATTTCTTTTTCATGACACTTGAAAGCTATCCTTTAACCTTTATATTCAATATTGCTTATCTCAGGTGACCATCAAGGCCACTAGGCCTCTTGTAATTTTAATCATGGTTCAAGGCTGAGAGAAAACTGAAAAGTGGTAGTACAAATGCACAAGAACAACAAAGAAAGTAAAGTTGATCTCTGCATTGAAATCCAGTGCACATGTGACAACTGAGAGCACTCACACCCTCCCAGATGTGATGACCTTTTTCTCTTTTTAAAGGTCACAGGGGTCAAATGTGTTAATATTTTCAAACATTTTTTTCTTAATGATATATAACAGGCTGCTGATATTGTTTTTTTAACATTGGTGGATGAAGGGCTACCAAATGTATTCAAATGATTGACCTTGACCTATATTCAAGGTCTCTTAGCTGAAATGAGTTAGGTCTTAGAATTTAGTTTTCAACAAGCAATAGGTTTGGAGTAATGGCATTAGTGTAGGAGCATGTATAAAGAATATGATTTCAATTTTTGCAGAAAAAGGTTTTATTGACTAACAATGTCTTAGTGGCCTCTTTTATATAGGTCTTTATGGTCAGATGAATGTTTAGGCCCATAGGCCTCTAGTGAATTTCTTGATAGCAAAACCCAATGACCTGTTGTGTTTACTTGTCACAGTTGATGAGATGTTCAAGGCTTTTTCTCAATACATGTAACATGGTTTTCATGAAAGATGGTGGTAACTGACAGACAGACTTTAAACAGCAGGTTTTTAGAGATGCAGTTTAATAAAAGATATGAGAACTTTGTCATGATGATTTCATTTAAAAATATTGCATTGACATGTCAGTATTTTCTTTGCCGTATATGTATTTGATCCTTTGGGGTTTTGGCCTGTAGGCTAGATAACTAGCTAAGATATATATTTGAACTTCTGGTGTGAAAGGCTAGACCTAAATCTGAGATATACAGCTATATTTGATCTTTGACTGAATTTAACTAATACACAGTGAATATATATATATATATATATATATATATATATATATCTGAGCTACTGTATATATGCAGAATAACTTGCTATGATATTTGAACCTGTGACATGTAATTCTTGATCTAATTAAGATATATGTGATAGTTGAACCATGGTTAGCGAGGCTTGATACTTTTAGTAAGATTTATGATTGAGACTGGCTTGTAAGGTTGGATCTAAATTAAGCCTACTTCTGAAGTGCTGAAAATGTTCCAGATTGTTTAACAATGGGAAATGGACATGACACTTAATAACAAAAATGTAACTGAATCACCCATATCCATGAACCATCATAGTGTATGTTTGAACAATTGGCCTTTGTTTATGTTGATTTCCAGTTCTGCCTGAATTTATATGGGTATGCTATTTGAGCAATGAGGTTATTTTCTTGGTTTGTTATTGATACAAATTGAGTAACGTTATTTGAGTTTAATATACAAACATGTATCTTCATGTTGAAATGTCTCCTGTCTAACTTTATTGTATGATTAAAGAGGTGTTTAAATGTTACTGATCGTATATTTTCACTGACAAGATATAATTGAAGGGAGAGATCACTATAGGTTTTATTGATAGGGATCTTGTGATTCAAAGGATTATATTGGTATCTTTTAGTAAAGATAACTGTGGTAGTCTTATTGTTTATTTAACCCAGTGATCAGATAAGTGAGGAATCCTCACAGTCATGGGTCATTTTTAGATGCCTACAGGAACCCCTGACAAGTCTACACGTATAAACAGATGGGACATAAAATTCACCTGGTTACAATTGAGTTCTCTCTCTTGCTGACATTCATGTAACTGCTTGACACACATTTTTTACAGGCTATAACATCATAGGACACAAAATGGTTTGTTCCTAACTCCCAAGGTAACAGACTAAATGGCCTACTTCAATGCATACAATTTTGTAAGACACAATATGATTTTTATCTGGTGGACAAAGTTGATGGGTTTTAGTCTTGCCTTAACCTGCATGCAACTTTTAAATTTATTGCAGTACTATACACGTATAGTTTTCATGATAGATGTATTTGTCACATGATATAATGTATTTGTCACATGACAGAATGTATTTGTCACATGATAGAAATTGAAATGATGATGGGTGTAGAGGTGAGTCAAGAGGGAGAGATTACAATGACTCCAGTATTAGTTTGATAATTAATGGGGATGATATATTTTGTACACATTGATTAACAAATAATTATGTATGTGTACATATATACGTTAAATAGCTCAGGCCCATGTGGATTGGTATCATGCTGGTGGGAATGATGTATACCTGACTGTATCTTATAAATACTGAATAATGTGTCTTATATCAAAGTCATTGGTCACTGCTGAAGTCAGTACAGATTTCCTATTGACGGCATGCTGTAAGATTTCCTGTTGACGGCATGCTGTAAGATTTCCTGTTGACGTCATGCTTTAAGATTTCCTGTTGACAGCATGCTGTAAGATTTCCTGTTGACGTCATGCTGTAAGATTTCCTGTTTGTCAGTTTGCTGTAAGCTTTCCTGTTGTCAGCTTGCTGTAAAATTATCTCTTGATAGCATGCCGTCAGATTTCCTGTTGACAGCATGCTGTAAGATTTCCTGTTGACGTCATGCTGTAAGATTTCCTGTTTGTCAGTTTGCTGTAAGCTTTCCTGTTGTCAGCTTGCTGTAAAATTATCTCTTGATAGCATGCCGTAAGATTTCCTGTTGACAGCAAGCTGTAAGATTTCCTGTTGATGTCATACTGTAAGATTTCCTGTTGACGTCATGCTGTAAGATTTCCTGTTGATAGCATGCTGTGAGATTTCCTGTTGACGTCATGCTGTAAGCTTTCCTGTTGACGGCATGCTGTAAGATTTCCTGTTGACAGCAAGCTGTAAGATTTCCTGTTGATGTCATACTGTAAGATTTCCTGTTGACGTCATGCTGTAAGATTTCCTGTTGATAGCATGCTGTAAGATTTCCTGTTGATAGCATGCTGTAAGATTTCCTGTTGACGTCATGCTTTAAGATTTCCTGTTGACAGCATGACGTAAGATTTCCTGTTGACAGCATGCTGTAAGATTTCCTGTTGTCAGCATGCTTCAAGATCTCCTGTTGACTGGGTGCTGTAAGATTTCCTGTTGATAGCATGCCGTCAGATTTCCTGTTGACGCCATGCTGTAAGATTTCCTGTTGACGTCATGCTGTAAGATTTCCCGTTGACGTCATGCTGTAAGATTTCCTGTTAATGGCATGCTGTAAGATTTCCTGTTGATAGCATGCCGTCAGATTTCCTGTTGACAGCATGCTGTAAGATTTCCTGTTGTCAGCATGCTTCAAGATCTCCTGTTGACTGGGTGCTGTAAGATTTCCTGTTGATAGCATGCCATCAGATTTCCTGTTGACGTCATGCTGTAAGATTTCCTGTTGCCGTCATGCTGTAAGATTTCCTGTTAATGGCATGCTGTTAGAGGGAGAGATTACAATGACTCCAGTATTAGTTTGATAATTAATGGGGATGATATATTTTGTACACATTGATTAACAAATAATTATGTATGTGTACATATATACGTTAAATAGCTCAGGCCCATGTGGATTGGTATCATGCTGGTGGGAATGATGTATACCTGACTGTATCTTATAAATACTGAATAATGTGTCTTATATCAAAGTCATTGGTCACTGCTGAAGTCAGTACAGATTTCCTGTTGATGTCATGCTTTAAGATCTCCTGTTGACTGGGTGCTGTAAGATTTCCTGTTGATAGCATGCCATCAGATTTCCTGTTGACGTCATGCTGTAAGATTTCCTGTTGACGTCATGCTGTAAGATTTCCTGTTAATGGCATGCTGTAAGAGGGAGAGATTACAATGACTCCAGTATTAGTTTGATAATTAATGGGGATGATATATTTTGTACACATTGATTAACAAATAATTATGTATGTGTACATATATACGTTAAATAGCTCAGGCCCATGTGGATTGGTATCATGCTGGTGGGAATGATGTATACCTGACTGTATCTTATAAATACTGAATAATGTGTCTTATATCAAAGTCATTGGTCACTGCTGAAGTCAGTACAGATTTCCTATTGACGGCATGCTGTAAGATTTCCTGTTGACGGCATGCTGTAAGATTTCCTGTTGACGTCATGCTGTAAGATTTCCTGTTGACGTCATGCTTTAAGATTTCCTGTTGACAGCATGCTGTAAGATTTCCTGTTGACGTCATGCTGTAAGATTTCCTGTTTGTCAGTTTGCTGTAAGCTTTCCTGTTGTCAGCTTGCTGTAAAATTATCTCTTGATAGCATGCCGTAAGATTTCCTGTTGACAGCAAGCTGTAAGATTTCCTGTTGATGTCATACTGTAAGATTTCCTGTTGACGTCATGCTGTAAGATTTCCTGTTGATAGCATGCTGTAAGATTTCCTGTTGACGTCATGCTGTAAGCTTTCCTGTTGACGGCATGCTGTAATATTTTCTCTTGATAGCATGCCGTCAGATTTCCTGATGACAGCATGCTGTAAGATTTTCTGTTGTCAGCATGCTTCAAGATCTCTTGTTGACTGGGTGCTGTAAGATTTCCTGTTGATAGCATGCTTTAAGATTTCCTGTTGACAGCATGCTGTAAGATTTCCTGTTGACAGCATGCTGTAAGATTTCCTGTTGTCAGCATGCTTCAAGATCTCCTGTTGACTGGGTGCTGTAAGATTTCCTGTTGATAGCATGCCGTCAGATTTCCTGTTGACGCCATGCTGTAAGATTTCCTGTTGACGTCATGCTGTAAGATTTCCTGTTGACGTCATGCTGTAAGATTTCCTGTTAATGGCATGCTGTAAGATTTCCTGTTGATAGCATGCCGTCAGATTTCCTGTTGACAGCATGCTGTAAGATTTCCTGTTGTCAGCATGCTTCAAGATCTCCTGTTGACTGGGTGCTGTAAGATTTCCTGTTGATAGCATGCCATCAGATTTCCTGTTGACGTCATGCTGTAAGATTTCCTGTTGACGTCATGCTGTAAGATTTCCTGTTAATGGCATGCTGTAAGATTACCTGTTGTCAGTTTGCTGTAAGCTTTCCTGTTGTCAGCTTGCTGTAATATTATCTCTTGATAGCGTGCCGTCAGATTTCCTGTTGACAGCATGCTGTAAGATTACCTGTTGTCAGCTTGCTGTAATATTATCTCTTGATAGCGTGCCGTCAGATTTCCTGTTGATGGCATGCTGTAAGATTTCCTGTTGATAGCATGCTTTAAGATTTCCTGTTGTCAGCTTGCTGTAATATTATCTCTTGATAGCATGCCGTAAGATTTCCTGTTGATAGCATGCTGTAAGATTTCCTGTTGACGTCATGCTGTAAGATTTCCTGTTAATAGCATGCTGTAAGATTTCCTGTTAGTAGCATGCTGTAAGATTTCCTGTTGACGGCATGCTGTAAGATTTCCTGTTGTCAGTTTGCTGTAAGCTTTCCTGTTGTCAGCTTGCTGTAATATTTTCTCTTGATAGCATGCCGTCAGATTTCCTGTTGACAGCATGCTGTAAAATTTCTTGTTAATATCATGCTGTAAGATTTCCTGTTGACGGCATGCTGTAAGATTTCCTGTTGTCAGTTTGCTGTAAGCTTTCCTGTTGTCAGCTTGCTGTAATATTTTCTCTTGATAGCATGCCGTCAGATTTCCTGTTGACAGCATGCTGTAAGATTTCCTGTTGTCAGCATGCTTCAAGATCTCTCGTTGACTGGGTGCTGTAAGATTTCCTGTTGATAGCATGCTTTAAGATTTCCTGTTGTCAGCATGCTTCAAGATCTCCTGTTGACTGGGTGCTGTAAGATTTCCTGTTGATAGCATGCCGTCAGATTTCCTGTTGACAGCATGCTGTAAGATTTCCTGTTGACGTCATGCTGTAAGATTTCCTGTTGACAGTATGCTGTAAGATTTCCTGTTGACGTCATGCTTTAAGATTTCCTGTTGTCAACTTGCTGTAATATTATCTCTTGATAGCATGCCGTAAGATTTCCTGTTGATAGCATGCTGTAAGATTTCCTGTTGACGTCATGCTGTAAGATTTCCTGTTAATAGCATGCTGTAAGATTTCCTGTTAGTAGCATGCTGTAAGATTTCCTGTTGACGGCATGCTGTAAGATTTCCTGTTGTCAGTTTGCTGTAAGCTTTCCTGTTGTCAGCTTGCTGTAATATTTTCTCTTGATAGCATGCCGTCAGATTTCCTGTTGACAGCATGCTGTAAGATTTCCTGTTGTCAGCATGCTTCAAGATCTCTCGTTGACTGGGTGCTGTAAGATTTCCTGTTGATAGCATGCTTTAAGATTTCCTGTTGTCAGCATGCTTCAAGATCTCCTGTTGACTGGGTGCTGTAAGATTTCCTGTTGATAGCATGCCGTCAGATTTCCTGTTGACAGCATGCTGTAAGATTTCCTGTTGACGTCATGCTGTAAGATTTCCTGTTGACAGTATGCTGTAAGATTTCCTGTTGACGTCATGCTTTAAGATTTCCTGTTGTCAACTTGCTGTAATATTATCTCTTGATAGCATGCCGTAAGATTTCCTGTTGATAGCATGCTGTAAGATTTCCTGTTGACGTCATGCTGTAAGATTTCCTGTTAATAGCATGCTGTAAGATTTCCTGTTAGTAGCATGCTGTAAGATTTCCTGTTGACGGCATGCTGTAAGATTTCCTGTTGTCAGTTTGCTGTAAGCTTTCCTGTTGTCAGCTTGCTGTAATATTTTCTCTTGATAGCATGCCGTCAGATTTCCTGTTGACAGCATGCTGTAAGATTTCCTGTTGTCAGCATGCTTCAAGATCTCTCGTTGACTGGGTGCTGTAAGATTTCCTGTTGATAGCATGCTTTAAGATTTCCTGTTGTCAGCATGCTTCAAGATCTCCTGTTGACTGGGTGCTGTAAGATTTCCTGTTGATAGCATGCCGTCAGATTTCCTGTTGACAGCATGCTGTAAGATTTCCTGTTGACGTCATGCTGTAAGATTTCCTGTTGACAGTATGCTGTAAGATTTCCTGTTGACGTCATGCTGTAAGATTTCCTGTTGATATCATGCTGTAAGATTTCCTGTTGACAGCATGCTGTGAGATTTCCTGTTGTCAGCATGCTGTAAGATTTCCTGTTGACAGCAAGCTGTAAGATTTCCTGTTGATGTCATGCTGTAAGATTTCCTGTTGATAGCATGCTGTAAGATTTCCTGTTGACAGCATGCTGTGAGATTTCCTGTTGTCAGCATGCTGTAAGATTTCCTGTTGACAGCATGCTGTAAGATTTCCTGTTGACAGCATGCTGTAAGATTTCCTGTTGACGTCATGCTGTAAGATTTCCTGTTGATAGCATGCTGTATGATTTTCTGTTAATAGCATGCTGTAAGATTTCCTGTTGATAGCATGCGGTAAGCTTTCCTGTTGAAAGCGTGCTTTAAGATTTCCTGTCTCACACGAGTCATATTTTCAATTCATGTAAGCAACATTGGAAAGTTTGTTAACAGTTACAGTTTGTATTCCAGACTCCTCTGATGACAAAAAGCCACGGGATAAGAATCCTTCAGTATTAGTTGGAGATGTAACTACTAAACATGAGAAGAAAGAAGAACGGGAAATGAAAATAAAAGAAAAACAGTTTAACCGTAATACCAAAGCAGAGGTACATCTAGCTTTTCATTTTTTTTTGTTCTCAAAGTGACTTTATCTGAATCTATAGCATGTAAGTATTACTCCTGTATTGATTCCTGTTTACTACATTTATTATCGTTTATACTCTCCTGAATTAGAGACATGTTATTGTTACTCCTATATTGATTCCTGTTCACTTTATTTATTATCGTTGATACTCTCCTGAATTACAGAAATGAAAGTGTGAATCCTGTTTTGTGCATACTATATTTATTATCGTTTATACTCTCCTGAATTAGAGACATGCAAGTGTTATTCCTGTTTTGAGTATATTACATTTGTTATTGTTTATACTCTCCTGAATTAGAGACATGCAAGTGTTACTCATATATTGATTCCTGTTTACTACATTTATTATCATTAATATTCTTCTGAATTAGAGACATGTTATTGTTACACCTAAAATTGATTCCTGTTCACTTTATTTATTATCGTTTATACTCTCCTGAATTACAGAAATAGAAGTGTTACTATTGTTTTGTTTTTACTACATTTATTATCGTTTATACTCTCCTGAATTAGAAACAGTTAAGTGTTACTCCTGTCTTGTGTATACTACATTTATTATCGTTTATACTCTCCTGAATTAGAGACATGCAAGTGTTACTCTTGTCTTGTGTATACTGCATTTATTATCGTTGATAATCTCCTGAATTAGAGACATGTAAGTGATACTCCTGTTTTGTGCATACTACATTTATTATCGTTTATACTCTCCTGAATTACAGAAATAGAAGTGTTACTACTGTTTTGTTTTTACTACATTTATTATCGTTTATACTCTCCTGAATTACAGAAATAGAAGTGTTACTACTGTTTTGTTTTTACTACATTTATTATCGTTTATACTCTCCTGAATTACAGAAATAGAAGTGTTACTACTGTTTTGTTTTTACTACATTTATTATCGTTTATACTCTCCTGAATTAGAAACAGTTAAGTGTTACTCCTGTCTTGTGTATACTACATTTATTATCGTTTATACTCTCCTGAATTAGAGACATGTAAGTGATACTCCTGTTTTGTGTATACTACATTTATTATCGTTGATAATCTCCTGAATTAGAGACATGTAAGTGATATTCCTGTTTTGTGCATGCTACATTTTTTATCGTTTATACTCTCCTGAATTAGAGACATGTAAGTGTGAATCCTGTTTCGTGTATACTACATTTATTATCGTTTATACTCTCCTGAATTAGAGACATGTAAGTGTTACTCATATATTGATTCCTGTGCATACTACATTTATTATCATTTATATTCTTCTGAATTAGAGACATGCTATCGTCTTCGTTCATTAGCTTTTTCCATACAGCTGTTATTTTCTGAACAACAAATGTTTCACTAAATCAAATTGAAGAAATTCTGTACAAAATGAGTAAATCTGGGGTACGTAACTATTGCTTTCCTTTATAATTTTGTTCCTGTGGAACTGAGATGTGAATATATACAGTGATGGAATGAAACATTTAGTGATCCAGAAAATTATTAGATAAACAATTACTGATGTCCAATAATCAGCAGCGATCACAAATGGTGATGTTATGTTATTGCAATGAATACTTTCCTGTAGATTTTGTATAAACATAAAAATTATTGATTTCTTGGCCATCAAATTTCACTGAGTGAATAGATCAAGGTCATGCAAGCTTATAATTTTTTCATCACAAGTCATATTTCAATGATGTATAGGCAAATTGATAATATTCAATTATTTTGCCAATATAGAGTGGTGTATTGTAACAGTTGATGTACCATAAATTGATTTTAGGAGATATCTGGTAAAATCATGGAAGAGAAAGAACGCTTATCATTGGGTGCAAGATCTCGAGGGACCTCTCAGGCAACTTCCCGGGCAGGATCTCCTACGCCAACCTCTCATAGTAAGTATGATTCATTTACCCATCATTGTAATGATCATGAATGAAGGAAAAGAATAGTGGAAATAAGGCAAATTCTTCTCAGTAGAAATATCAGGATTCTGTTCAAATTTGGTCTGAAGCATGCTAGGGTGAAGGGGAATTATTATTTCTTTTTTAGTAAAAGATGGGTCTGGGGCCTCATATGGTTGGGAATTACAGGGAATCATTTCGTATTAACAGTGGGGCTCAGTCCTCAGGGATGGGGCTGAATAGTTGATAAGAGTAATTTTTCTAAATTTCATCATTTTTGAAAATGCCAAGATTTTGTCTGAATTTGGTATGATGCATATGTAGATGAAAACAGGCTTTAATTTGTATCATTCATGTGTGTTACATCAGAAATGTGGGGCACTGACCCAATGAGGGTAATGAAAGTTTTAAAGTATTTTCTAAAAGCTTAAACAGTTCTCAATGCCACATGCCGGGTTATTAGTCATACATTTTGCAGTTTTCAATGTCACATATAGGAATACCAGAAGTATATTTTAAAATTTTCAATGTCACTTTTCAATTGTTGTAAAATAAATAAGTTTCAATTCACTCATTGTAAATATGGTCACATGTTAAATTGAAGTATATCACCCACTCATTGTAAATGGTCACATGTTATACTAGTAGATGGCAAGGCTTTTACTTTTCAATTTAAAAATGTTATGGACATGTAAAAATATCTTGTATTCTTAACATTTAATTTTCAGCGACCTTAATATTGTCATCCATTTTTGTTATAGGTAAATTTATTAAGCTGCATATTTGCTCCTTGACGATCACTTTGATGATCATTACCATTATTTGAAATTAATGGCGTATCATTTACCTTTATGTAGAACAAATATGATGAATTCCAGAAACATTGTATTGTTATAACAATACCACTGATTCAAAGTTATGATGGCAAATATTTTTAATGGCCATTAGCAAATGCTGGAACATAGTGTTTAACTGTCACACTCTAGTAGAAATTCCATTTTTGTTACCAATGCCTGTCATAAAATCTGAAGGAATTAATGACAGAAATTTCATTTCATACTGGAATTTTTGTTTTATTTGTAGAAGATACAGTTGTGGGATCGCACAACATACCAAAAATAGCGTGCACACATCGTGCATACACCGTGCGTACATCGTTTGTGTATCATGCTCACATCGTGCGTGTGTCGTGCGCACAAATGTGCGGTGTGCGATTCTCTGTGCGGTTTTGTTCGATAGGTTGATTGATATTGCGAAATTATCAAAAAAACGTAATGTGTCGTATGAAATCGAAAACGGGGCGTCCATCATCTCGTATGCGGAAATGGATGCTGGTCGGCGATTGTCACCTTTTGCGAAGGAAAAGATTGTTATATACCACACCAATGGACTCTCTGGCCCGAAAATAGTTGAAAAGCTGAGGTATAGTCATCAGATTGTAACAACACGCCAGACAGTTACCAGATTCCTGACGTTTATGTTTCTAAAACATGTGTCACTTAAATGAAATATATCTTATCTGTCTTTACATGTTTATGGTCTCTATAGAATTACAAGTTATTTTATTCTTCAAATGGATTTTATTAACTGGATCTTTAACTACACTTTAATAAAATAAATCATTGATTGATCAACTTTGATTGATGGCAAAAGCAATCATATCAGTAGTTTAAATTGTCGTTGACATGATAATATAATGACATACATGATATACTGTAAAAATAAAAAATAAAAATGAAACAAAAAAATGGAAAAACGATGGCCCCAGTTTCACAAATCTTCCTTAAGGAATTTTCCTTAGCTTATAATTATCATGCATTGCTCATCGAAAAATATTTCATACTGTAAGTTAAGGAATGGAGCTTCTTTAATTGTAAATGTAAATGGTTATGTAATTTGGGAGTTAAGATTTCTTAAAAGTTAAGGAAGATTGGTGAAACTGGGGCCTGAATGTAACAAAATAACGTTTAATGTGAAATAAATTTAAAGTGTATTTTACCAATACGATTATGTGTTGCAAAATTTAACAAAATTTATCTACAAAATATAGTTGAAATGAAACTTCTGCAACTTATTTTTCTCTGGTTAAAAATAAACCAAGAACAGTTCAAAACATTTTGGAATATTGTGTGTGTATAGATAGAGTAACACTCCTAATTATAATTTTAATTAGTGCAGTTGGTGAGTCCTATCTACTTGACGTTGTATATTGAAACTGTAGGCCTATAATTAGTTAATAGCTGATCGAACAATTACAGATATTGGATTCTTCAGTTATCTACAAAGTTATGCACATGTGCAATAAAATATAATATTAAAAGCTATACTTACCAGCAGTTATCAGTAGGTCTAATCTATCTAGCTGTGAGTCAGGGAATGAATTGTTACCTTGACCGATTGGTGTCCTTTCACTGGCTATTTCATTGTTATAAAAACACAACATGGCAGGTATAATATTCTTGTGTGTTCTGACGATGATAGTATACAATTGCGCTCGGAACGTATACTCTAAACAAGCAGCATGGCTTCTTATTGTGACACCTTTCTTAGGCCTAATTAGGTCTCACGCCTCGTGTTGTGAGTGTCACAGATCGAAGCGGTCTGTCTAAGAGCCCCAGTCGTGTGTTTATAAGCGACTGCCTTAATGCGAGATCTTGTTGAAAACATAACAAACAACTAGCGACAAAGTGAATTTTTATTCTTAAAAGAAAATTCAAGACTGATCAGTTTACCTTGGTCACGACAACACATGAAGTATATTGATATCACAATCGTTCCGCACATTTGAACTTTATTCATAACCAATTCCTAAATTTATATCAACAACGATAGCTATCGTTTGGATCGTCCATCGTGCGCACATTCGCCTGCACGATGCAATCGCACATCGTGCAAACATCGTGCATACTTCGTGCGCACATCGTGCATACTTCGTGCGCACACCGCACATCGTGTAACGTTGTGATCCCACAACTGTGTCAGTATCTTATGCCATTCACTTCATACCAAACAAATCAATCACATACATTTACTGTATGTAATGGGCATTGTAAACATAAAGTGATTATTCTGGAACATTTTCTTCAGGTTTGTAGGGTCAATAAAATAAAGACACAAGCAGTATGCACTGTCATCTTCGTCAGACAAATGCTGTAAAAAAAAAGTGTGAAGGATAATGACTCTTTCATTGTATACAAGATGGTAAGGAATGGACCAACTTTTTGAGATCTAAAACATTCTTAGTCCCAGTTCAATAAATCAGCACTTACATATATTTCCACACAGAAAAATCAAATCTTCAACTAGAATATAATCAAAATAAGATGACAGGAAAGCCACCTTTTCAGGCGGCTGGCTAAGGAGGTAGTCTGAATACCCCACAGCAGGTAAGTACGAAACAGGAACAAGCAGGGCCATAGATTCTCACACAGTTATCAATGACAAAGTGTTAAAGTGTAAAATCTACTGCAGTACATTGTTACAGTCTTTCGTAATTTTAGGTCATCTGGCCCAAAGGATCATAATATTTGGCCAAAAGGTTCCCTTAATGGTGCCCACAAAGTGTGTGAAAAAATGGTGTATTGTTTTAAGCATCTACTGTGGAAAATATGCACAGATATAGTACTGTTTGACTGTTGGTCATAAAGATCCATGTAAGCGATACAGGCCCTCTGGGCCTCTTGTTGCTATAATTTTTTTACTAGCTTGTCACAATATATTCTACCTCATCATGCATAGGATATTAGTTCAGCTGAAAAAGTGGGTTTATTCCTTACCATCTCGTACACTACATACCTCTGTGCTGGTGCTCTTCACACTGGTCATTGGTATTTGTCAATATGTTGCACTTAAATCTTCTACTGGTTTTTATTAGTTCATCTAACCGGACTTTTGGGTTAGTCTTTGTGCTTCATCCGTCACTGTGCGTCGTGCATAAACTTTTTTTTACAATACCTTAATCCTCTCTCATATCTGGATGGATTTCAACCAAATTTGGTCTGATGCATCATAAGGACTTGGGGGCGGGACCCAAAAAGGGAAAATAAGACAACATTCAAAAAGTATGGATTTCAACTAAATTTGATCTGAAACACATCATAGAGAGTGGGCAATCATTTCTTAAACTCAGCAAGTTGATTGGACTCCAATGGACTTGAGGCCAAAAGGGAAATAAGACATAATTTTTTCCTTAAAATAGCTATTCTTCCTGAATGCTTGAATGGATATCAAATAAATTTAGTCTTAAATATCATTGGTAGTGGGAAATTATTTCTTAATTTCAGAAAGTTGATATTACCAAAAGGGACTTTGAGGTGGGGCCCCAAATATAATAATAATAATAATAAACTTTATTTATTGAGGATATAAAACATGTTTAGCAAACGGCTAATCTTCCACATGGTCCTCTGGTTAGTAAAATAATGTTAGTTAAAATCTACTAAGTAACCTACATGAATCAAGTTTCAAATACAAACTTCATATTAAACAACAATAGGATTTAAACTATATCAAAAAAAATCACAGACATTAATTAAAATTATCACAGTATGCACAATTGCAAAAATATTTTGTTCAATTAAATGGCTGGTGCCTAATATACATACATGCTAATATAGCAAACAGATAAAAATTGACATAGTTATATGCTAATATAGCATAGTCTAAAATCAATATGGTGGTAAAAAAGTTGATTAAGAATGCCAAATATATCACAAAGAGATCTAAGACATAGATATAAGATGTTGAATAAGTTTTCCTTTAAAAGTGGAAAAACAGTGGACATTCTTAATATCATTGGGTAAAATACTCCATTCTTTAATACTGTCAGTAAGAAATTGTTTAGAATAAAACACAGTTCTATGTTTTGGCACTTAGAAATTGTTTTCAGAAACATATCTAGTATTCCTGTTGTGACCATTCCTCACTAGTGATACATTGTTTGACAAATATTATGGAACAGTCTGGTGATAACATTTAAATAACATACACAGCCTTCTAAATTTGTAATACATAATTGGCATCCATCAAAGTTGCTGAAACATTACACTGGAGGGTGTGTCAAAAGGTACATTTAAAATAGTACGGACTGCCTGCTTCTGAGCTTTAAGAAATTTCCCATTAAATTTTTGTTGCAACCTGACCACACAGTACTACAATATAAAAAGTGTGGGAAAACACAAGAACTAAAAGACCTAAGTTTATCTTTATTAGGTAGATATGGACTAATGCGTCGTAATAAACCAAGTCTTTGTCTTATCCTAGATACAACAGATGTAATACGACTTGACCACGTAAGCCCATCACCAATGTTTACACCAAGTAGTTTATCATTACAAACCTGTTCTAAAGGTTCATCACACATAAAAAGTTTAAGATTTAAATTGTTTCTCCAATTTTTTTTTTTTTTGCTTTGATGAGATACACATACATTTTGTTTTTTGTACATTAATCATCATTCTGTTATCTACACACCATTTACTTACATTGTTTAAATCTGCCTGTAGTGTAACTGTGATATCTTCTACTGACTTACCAACAGCAGACAACGTAGAATCATCAGCATACATATCAGTGCTTGATAAAACATGTAGAGGCAAGTCATTGATAAAAACTAAAAACATAAGAGGACCGAGAATAGATCCCTGAGGTACACCATGTGTGATATTGCAAACATAAGACATATGACCTGCAAGAGATACTATCTGGGTTATGTTGTCTAAATATGATTTAAACCATGACATGGACCTATGTTCAATATGATACGAAGACATTTTTGTGAGTAAAACATCATGGTCTTCCAAATCAAACGCCTTTTTAAAATCTAATAGTACAACTCCTGTATTCAAACCATCATCTATATTTTTTGCCCAGGAGTTGACTACATTCAACAGTGCAGTTTCACAGGAGTGATTTTGACGGAAACCTGACTGAGAAGATATAATTAGACTATGAGTAGTAAGATAATTATAAAAAGTACTATGAACATTTCTCTCAATAACTTTAGACAGTATTGGTAAAACAGAAATTGGTCTAAAATTGCTAACATCATCAGTGTTACCACTTTTATAGAGAGGGGTAACTCTTGCTAACTTCCACTGTGTGGGAAACTTACCAGACTGGATATTAAGATTAATAATAAATGTAAGTGACTGAGCTATTTCCTTATGAACAATCTTTAAAAGTTTAGCACAAACATCATCAGTACCAGTAGCTTTGTGTTCGTCCAAATTACTCAAAAACTTGACGACGAAATAAACTGACACTTTTGGTATGACAAACTGGGTACTATTACTTAGTTTACTATTTACATATTCTTTCAACTTCTCAAAAGAGGTTGTAACATTTTCAAGATTAGAAGTTAATTTACCAGCAACCTCTGTAAAATAACTATTAAAGTGATTAGCCATTTCACTTTTTTTTTCAAATACATCTTTCTCATTTATCTCTAACATGTTTGGAGATGGTAAGCTTTTTGGAGGACTAAGTTCCTGTATCAGCTTCCAAAGAATTTTGGGATTATCAAGATTTTTTTCAATAACTGTTTTGTAGTAATTTGTTTTAGCCGTACGAACCATGGAAGAAACTTTATTACGTTGTATTTTGTATCTTCCATGTTCACCCTGATGTTTCAGCTCGTCTCTAACTTTTATATTTTCAATAATATTGTCATCCATCCAATCGGGTTGTTTCGTTTTTTTCACCCTTCTCTCCATTTTTGGAGCATAGTCATCCACAATACTGAAGAAAACAGATACATCCAGATATCTAGTGCATCGTCCACATCATCAAATGTCTCTATTATGGACCAAGGAACACTAGCAATTGCTTTGGCAAATTCTTGGGCATCGAAGTTCTTAAAAGACCTGTACGCCATATTGGTATGAGTAAATTTTGACCCTAAAGATCTTTTACGCACGAAGCAAACTGGATAGTGATCACTAATTCCGTTTTTGACCACCTTCACTTGTCTTAAGTATTCAGGAGCTGACATGTATACATGGTCAATGAGTGATGATGTGTCAGCTACACGTGTGGGTTCCTTAACCATTTGATGGAGGTTAAAAGGCTCTGTAAGGTCTACAAAAGACTCACTGTTTCCACCATTAAGGTTGATTTTGAAATCTCCAACTAAGATAATTTCTTCCCTTCCTGCTGACATTTGGAATGAAAAAGCTCAAAACTCTCCATCCATAGAGTAGAATTACACTTCGGAGGTCTATACACATTTGCTCTGAGCAAAGGTTTTGAGCATTTAAAATTCATCTGTACACATAATATTTCAAGGTCTTCCATTTCAAGGTCAGGCCTTCTAATGAATGGAGTTGTACTTTTGATATATGTCACAACATCACCATGCCGGGTCCCATCTTTGTGATCTGATCGCTCAAGAAAATAACCAGAATGGGGAAGTTAGTCAATATTTTCTTCAAAATGCCACTCTTTCAAGATGTTTGAATGAATGAAACATCATTAAAGGTAGAGAATCATTTCTTAATTCAGAATGGTGATTTTACCCCTAGAAACATAGAGACTGGTCTCCAAAAGGGGACGTTAGGTATTTTTTTGCTTCAAAACACTACTCCTTCTTAATGCCTGGGTAGATTTCAACCAAACTAGGCCAAAAACATTATTATTGAGTGGCGTGGCAGTGATATCAAACATTCATAAATTGATCCTGAGATTTTCCTAACCAAATGTTTTTGTTTTGGTCCAAAATCAAATACATTTCATCTTGAACAAATAGACCAAACTACTTTTTCATTCGCACCTTTGACAAACATTTGATTTCTTAAGGAAATGAAAGAGGGTGATAAGTTGTTATTTTTTCAGTCTGATCAAAACTTCTTCCACAGTAGCCATTTTGTAATATGATTGTATAACTGTTTTTCATAAACAGAACTTACCATTGATGTGTTGCTGATGCATTTAGGTATTATTCAAAATCTGAAGTAATCTGATTTGTCAGATCACCATCTACAAATTCTGTGGTTTGTCCATCCATTCAATGATTGACAGATGACTGTTAAGGGCCATGGCCCTCTTGTTATCAGATCTTCTATTCTATAGAATGACATTCAAATATAGAAAACAATTCTTTCAACATACGTAACACACGAAAGATACACATATATCACCAGCATTAGGGATAATCAATATCTTTTGTGAATTTTTTTTAAATTATGCCAAAGAACAGATCATATTTTGCATTTCTATTTTGTCATTTTCTTGTCAAGTGCACCATCAAGGTTTGATAAAATGGGACTCTTTCTAATGAATCATGGTTCTTTGTTCTTTTTGTTTCAGAACAAGTACATTTCCGGCCTGATGAAGTGATGAGTAGTTCTACTGACAGTTGTTATAGGTTTATTCTCGTGAGTAAACCTGTTAAATCTTCATTGAAAAATCAAAATGAAAGCAATACCCAGATAATGGTTGAGAACAACAGCGAACATAAAGGACCGCAAGAAAATAATTCCTCTATTCGACAAGATGATGTAGGTAAAAGAAATGGAGCACAAGATGTGGATAAAAGCGAAAATAATATGGACGGAAATACTGAAGTGAAGCATCAGAAAGGACAAAGAAATAAACTATGCACAATTGAGGAGAGAACAAATAGCAGATGCAGCACAAAATCTGAGGATAAAGACAAGCTTAAACCTGATGATATCAAAAAAGGGTAAAAGACAAAGTTAAACTTGAGGATATCAAAAGAGTTTTGAAAACAAGTTAAAACTCATATGATGCTTAAATCGTACAATGTCAGCTGTTGTTTCGGTGACAGATTTGATACATAACAGTAAATCATGAGGATGTCCAGAAAGACTTACAGACGAGTTTCAACCAAAGGAGGCCACTAAAGATTTAAAATTGAGTTAAAATCTGACAAAGTAAAAACATTTCTTGGCGTTTCTGAAGCACAGTTCAGGAAATTCGAAAGAAATGTTCTTTTTTTTTGTTATAAAGTAAATTTAACAGACATCTGTCCTTGCCTTGAATTAGTCAATTCAGTACATATGTTGCTGAAGAAAACAAAACTAGTAAGATTTTCTTTAATCAATAATATAATCAAATACACTTTATTCAATGATAAAGGAATTCTGCTTCAGGTTGACAGAAAGCCATGACCTCAATACGGTAGTTTAAATTTCATATCTGTAAGACAGGTTTAAAGAAGCTAGAATTTTTGGGCGCTAAGAGAATAAAGATATTCAAAAGGGCTTCCGAAATGTAACAGATATGGATATGTACCTTACTACATTCCATAAAGGATACATAACTTTTACTGGAAAACATGAATATAAAATATACTGAGTTACAATTCACTGAGTTTTACGCAAAATCAAACATTTCTTAGTTGACAATATGATTTATCAGGAAATGATATTCCAACCTCTGATATTAAATCATATACAATCAAATGTATACACTTTACATTTGATACCTATCTGATTCTAAAACATGATATGACTTGTGTATTTAAGTTTGTTCAATGAAATGTTATTCAATTATATGTATCTATTTGATATGAGGTGATGTAAGTAATGTTATTTAATGTAAATTTATGCAAATACATCGTTGTACAAGGTTTGCTGTTTTGTCAACATAATGTTTACTGGGGAGAACATCATCTTGCCACACCCATTTGTTAATGGTATATTTTTCAAAATGTGTAGATTTTTTTTTTAAATGTAGAATATTTGTTTTAAATGCCTTTTGGTATATAGAAAGTTATGCTACCTCTCAAAATAATTTAGATTTTATATGAAAGTTTCATTTACATGAATCCGTTAAACTTAGTATTTTTGGGTTATCAAGATGGACTATTGTGATTGTGTGTCATCCAAGGTTTTGTTTTGTGCTCTTCCATTATTCCATCCTTACTTTTGCTGTCTTTTCTAGGTTCTTTCTTCTATAATAGTCATCATTAAAGCTTTATACTTAAAGTATTTGTTCACCTTATTTAGGTGGTGTGTTTGGTATTGCAGAAGATCACCATGACCTACATTTGGACCTCTGACGTATTTCAAAAAAGTGTGTCAGGGCTCTTTCTCCAGTCTACTTGACACTTGAATTTCAAGGTTACTCTGAACTATATTTTGACCAAGAGAGAAAGATTGCCTGGTATACCCTACTAGACACTCCAACTTAATACTTTATGTGTCTTTACTGTTGTGTAATTCACAGCATTGTATTCTTTAAATTGTCTATCTATGGCCCACCTTCTGCCAGACCAGCATTTTATTTGACTTGTTATTATGTTTATTAAGCACTGGTCTGAGCATTATTAAGTTATATGTGTAGTTTCCCAGATTGGGTCCTCTTTTCATAAGAGATATTGTATGGAAAATTTTCAACTTTAACAAACAGGTTTCAATGGTTTTATTTTTACAGGTTTAATTTTTGGACTGGCCTTAAATCATAGCAGATGACCTGTGACCACATTTTCAATTGATGTTTGCTGTTGCTGAAAAGGCAATTAACTATTTTGAATAGTCATAGTTTGTTATTAGTAGTTATGGGTAAGTACATTGTATCGGGTTGTAATTTTATGGTGGTCTCCGGTTGAGTTTATCATCTTACAAGACTTATGCAATACAAAGCATCTGAAAGGCAGCTATCTTGGATTTTGATAGTTACTGTTTTGTAATTTTGTGTCGTGAGGAGTACTGTTTTTTTAAATTGGACATGAAGATTCCTTAAAGGCATTGGTTGAGCATATAGCATTTTGGGACTGATAGGAAGTACAATACGGTAGACAAATGGCCATTGTGGATTTCGAAAAGTTTGACTTGTTATCAAAAATTTTCAAAAAGCATTTAGATAGTGTTTGAAAGTTAAAATGTGCATGTTTATTTTTTTGCTGATCAAAAATATGAAATGTCCCATATTCGGCCATTTTGGATAAGGCATTTAAATTGATGGATTGATTTGAATTTCGTTTTCTACGGAATCATTTTGATTAACACTACTTGCCATTTGTTAAAAGTATTTCTCTGTGCATTTTCAATTTCATATTAAGGTTTTCTCTGTTTATCAATGTAACAATTTGATTAAGTTTCCTGTCAACACATCATTTTTAAGAAGGAATACATGTTAGAGGTAAAAAGTGAAAGACCAGACTTTGAAAGAAACAATAGATAGTGATGGTGAGTGCAATTTCTAATTTGATATAATGGTAAGGATAACCAAACCAAAGTCACACAATGGATGCAATGCGGTTGATATCACAATCCTTTAGGTAAAGGAAGTGTAGCTTTAACTGAATGAGGTAAATCAAAACTGAGATATACTCCATACCGGTATGTTATCTGTACTTTAGATACACAAGTATAATCATATGTACAATTATTATATATGTTTGCAACTCCGTTTCCGGTTGTTCTGGGGAAAATATTAATAACAGGTAATTTGTTTTGACATATTCATCCATCAATAATACATGTCATGTATTGGAACAAATACAAATATACTTAACAAATCTGTGGAATATTACATACAATCATTCTTCTTTAGGTCAAGCATTGAAGTATGTCGTATCATTGCACAATTGAAGAAGATAAGGGTATCAAACAGCCATCTGAGAATTAAGGAATTGTATGTCTGTTGTGTAATGTTTACTTAAGCATGTTCTGGGTCTTTATAGATGTGTAAAAGAGCATCGTCTATAGAAAATCGGGTCTTTGTGCTGAGATATAGGAGTAGTTGTTTTTATGATAAATAATTACAGTAGGCATTTCTGTTAAATATTTTATAGCTGATATTTATATTTATAGTTTTTCCGTGCTAGGTCGAGTTATAGTGATGTATATTGTTATTTTGATTAGGTTGGTTTTACTCTTGTTGACAATGGCATTATTTGAAACAAATTGTTACTTGTACATTGGAAACCAGATTTTATTTACGAGTGAAGAGCTGTCTGCATTGATTATAACGGAAAACAATTGAGGTGGTATTACTATATACGTTGTATTGTTAGGCTATGTGTATACTACTTTGCTCTGTCTTGCTACATGCTGTATGGCTGCATTTCATGTTGTTTCATTTCTGTTATATATTGACTTTTTAACAATTGACTTCTCTTTTTCTAATATAAACACGGCACTTTGTAGTGTAACCAGTTATGTTCACATGTCACATATAGTGCTTGAACAAGCATCAATTTATATCTGTAGTTATTAACTTTCTACTTCTTCTGTTTTATGTTAACAAATCTCTAATAATTGTATGTTTCTGATATTTATACTGTGAGTTTCAGAATGGTGACTTGAACCAATGTTACATTGCTGATAAAACTATTGACAAGACATTGCACTTGTTCCACTGTTAACATTGTTCTCGTTTTCAATGAAGATGAAGACACTTCCTCTTTTGGAATACCTGGTCTTATTCTCATTGTAGGTGTTGAGGAATCTGGGTAAAACAGTCTTTTGCTCATATTTTGCCAAAGTTTCAACAAAGCTGAGTTTGAATTATAATTCTGTTTACATAATGAACTAGTAGTTTTGATAATAGATAGTTATTGGAAAACTCTTTAAAGGATTACAGTGCTTGGGAATGTTTTCCAGTCATAATGAAAGTCGTTGGCTACAGCAATTTTGTTTTGCATAAACCTGTCAAAAGAAAAGTACTTAGTATAAAACAAATTGGGAACTACTGCTAGGAACATGTGAATGTAGTAATAGTATAGATTGCTGTTTAATAATACGTTTTATGTAAAAAGCTTTACAATGCATGCGGGCATGCAAAAATCATACATTCCTTCATTATTTTTCTTTATTGTGGTTTTTGAAAAGAAATGTGCCTTTTCCCCCATATTCATATTTTAGTTACAAAAACTAAGTTTTAGATTCAGCTTTATTTCTGCTAAGTTGTGAGCTGTCTACAGAAAATTCAAAGCATTTTTCTTTCTCTGTTTTGTTGTCAACACATTGCTAACTCAAGTCTGATTTATTACTCTTGTGGAAATGTCATTTTCATTAAAATATTTCAATTACCTGTTGTTTGATTATTTTTATATAAACACGATCAGCAGTTGATATAGGGTGAAAAGGCCAATAGAACCACAACCAATTGAAAATGAAACGAGCACTAATGGCATAGTCTGATAAACCAAGTACTGCAATGAAGGTTGACAAAAATCTAAGCATAGTGATGCTATTTGGTTTGATTTGATACCTTCAAATAAATGATAAGGCTGATGATAAATTTCTAGAATTAAACAATGCCGATATTAACTCATTGAAATTTATTACACAAATGCGACATTAAGTTGATGAAATTAAGAACACATGCGCTGTGATAAATAACACAAAATGACATTAACTATAAAGTACATGTATATATATATATACACGCATCAAGCTACCCACCATGATTGAAAATCAAAGACAGAAAATTCTGCATCAGCCACCGTATGATGAAAGTGATGATTTCAATTTAATGAATTTTCCATTTGTGGATAGCAACATTCTTGCAACCTATGGTGTTTACATGTCGCAGTTGATGCGATATCCAAGGACTAGTTTCCATTATCTCGATTTTCGTGCATAAAGTCGTCAACTGATGGACAAACCTGTAAAACGGGATTTCCAAATTTAAGATGGAGGTTGATGGAAATTATGGGGAAGTTTTACGATCGTGATAGTGATCTCATTGAGAAATATTCTATTTCATTGTGCGATATGAAGCTGGACGTGTTTGATACTCATTAGTTTGCATGTTGATTCCTTTGTTATATACCTTGTTCTCATTTAAGGACGTGGCATTACTTACTTGGATTGGCCAAGGTTTACATGGCGGGTGTCGTCGATGAAGCAGGAGACGCTTTCTCTTCCAGAATACCTGGTCTTATTCTTCGCGTAATTTTTCAGGAGTTTCCATGGAAATATTTCTTACTTTTCATAAGTTATTCGTTTTTTATTGAATTTGAGTTTGGATTGTGATTATTTTCCCATGTTGGTGTTTTCTTGGAGTTTTTGTTTGT